CTTCGTAGATAACGTGATAGTGACGTAAATTATGAATAAAACATCGCAACTATTTTTTAAATCGGTCTCTAATTAAATTTTTTATTGTTGCGCCCGTGGAAAAAAGCGCGTTTTGAGAAAAACGTATTTAAAGTTTTTTTTTTTTTTCATTTTCTCGTAACTCGTTTTATTTTAGATACAACTCGAGCGGTTAAGTTGTATCTCGTGGGAAAGGTCAACTACGAGCATAATGATTATCAAACTGATGAATTTATGAAATTAAATTACTCACGTTTATTAAAGAACACTACTTGAATATTACACAATCAGTCTTTGGTATAAGTATGTGTAGTGTAGTGTTGTCACGGTAAAATATTAAGTGTGATATTACCAATTAAATGCTCGGTATTAACGCACTGGCAATGTGGGGACTAAAGGTGGTTTTAAACGATTACCGAATAGAACTTCAACTCAACTTGCGAATGCTATAAGGTTAACTGATGATTCGAAAGGGAACTTAATATTACGTTTACGGGACGCGTCATTTTGACGCATTTCGAATGCTTTCTAACCTCGAAATTCTCCATGTGGTATACCTATCTCTATAGCTATGCATTAATTTCAGAGATCATAAATTGTGTATTATATAAAATAAGGTGTTTTTTAAAGAAAATCTGCGGGTTCGTTGACGCGTGCCGTGGAGATACGTACACGATAAATGCTCGTAAACCTAGTGTTAAATCCGATCTCACTGGACACAACCGACTCTTTACTGGATCTAATACGTCGTGACTCCACAAGTAACTGTATTATTTTGGCCCGTGGAGGATTAAAATCAGAGGGTTTATATAGTCTCGAAACAGGTGGGGGTGTCATTAGAATTTTCATATAAGGAAATCTTAACTGTCGCGAGTGAATCATGATTCTGGCTCTGTTTGCTATCCAGTTGGTCGAGATTACGCTCCCCCTATTACTTGAGGAATAAACAGACGGTGTTTTAGGGTGTTTTCCGTTGCCAGACGCGCGGTTGAATACAATTGAAAAATTGAAATTATTCTTCATACGTAACCGTATATACAGCAATGTTACAGCTTTTTACCTTTAATCAGCTATTCTTGCACCATACAACAATCCTCGAGGGACTTCATATTCCACTTCCAACTCGGTTTTTTCGTGTCTTTCAAGCAACTTTAGCTTCTTTTGACGCATTTGTGCTACGACGGTTGACTTCCTCAATCTTTCTTGATGACAACATTTTTACCGTTACGACTGATATCAATGTCTAATAAGTCTATAACCGTTAATAAAGTTTTCTATCGTCAATTAAACACGCAAGCCAAAACCCACGCTGAAATTTTAAGAACGATTTTTCGACAAAACACGTGTATGGAACGAACTGCCATATATCTACATTTATTAAAAGTTTCGTTATAATTCTAAGTACTTTCTATGCAACATGTTAAAAATCTATCAGAATTTAAGCTTTCATATACTAAGTTTACGATTTCTTGTTTCTTTGGATCTAATTTATCGAGTGCTACATGCGGTCAGCGCGGTAGGGTCATCTACGTGCTTGCAGAATCTATACTTCTGGGAATTTACGACTGCAATTTTAAAATAGCATTCATGAGATGTTATACAATGAGAATACGCAATAAAAAAAAATCGATTTTTTCAAAAGTTTGACCGGAGGGTACCCTTAATACATTTTGGCTCTGAAGTTCAGATACACTAAACACACAAAGTGCCGTAGCACGTATAACGACCCACTCACTTTTCAGCTGAGTCGTGACACACAACGTCACGTGGTACGGCAATTATTATTTCTGAAACTCTCCCAAACCAATTATTATATGTGTGACCCAATCACACAATACAATAGAAATCACGCTTTATGCGTTGTTATCATAATATTAACATATCTATTACGACAATGAATAATTACCCTATTATCTTAGCATTATCTCAGTTAATTTTCAATTGCACCGAAAAACTTTTTATAATGTTCATTTGGGTGTATTACGGACGATTTTATCAAGTTTTATCGAAAACCGGAGGGTGAACATTTTTGGAACTGCAACCGTTTTATCCGCCATGAAGGATTCCCGGTATTTTTTCTCGGCCCTCGTAAATCGTCGTTCCAATATCCCTCGAGGAGGACGCGAAGACAAGAATCGTCGGACGTCTCATTAGAAAGATCCACGTATCCGTTCGGTTCTCGTGGCTGCAGGGCCCAACGTCAGAAAAATCTCGCGGAACGAGTCACCCCGCTGCTGTCAGGGACTTACTCGTATCTCGCTCGGTGTATACAAGCGTGAGACCGGGGCCCTCGGGTTCGTAATAAGACCTGACGGCCAGGTTTTTCAGCCCCGCTCTACCGTATTGCTCCGTATCTCCTTCTGCATTTCTTCTCCCCCCCCCGCCCCCCTCTCTCTCTCTCTCTTTCTGCTTCCCTGTCTCCTCTGCCTTTCTCCTTTCTTTTCTCATCCCTTAGACCCCCACTCCTTATCCCCCTCTCTCTGCCCCCCTCTCTCGCTCTATCAGCCCTTCTTCCTTTATCTCCCCCTCTCCGCGTCCCTCTTCCGTTTTATCTTCCTTCCCTTTGTTTTAATTTCTACCCTTTCCTCTTCGTCGCTCCACGTCGGGCTCTTTCTTCGAGGACACACCAAGAGGAGAAACCCGTGGCCGGCAACGTCCTGATGCCCATGCCACCGGTACCGGTATTAATTTATACGCTGTACGTGTGTGCACGCCGCTTTTTCTCGCAGTTCCTCGAAATTTGCAAGAAACTAGTCGGACACCCTGGCGGCTCCGGCCGCCTTGCCCTGCATACTGCCCGCCGCGGCGACCTCTCCACACGAGTCTTTCGCCTGAACGTCGCAAACACTGAGACCGCGCCCGGTGACACAGCCATTCCACCCTTCGACTCGATCCGCACGAGAAACAGTTGTGTGATGCTCGGTTCGATAATCTAACCATTGCCAGAATTGTATTTCTCTGGCCTGTAATGCATCCTTCTTTTCTTGAGATCCGCCTCCGTGATATTACGTTCGACGAATGTGACATTCCCTTTTATACCATTCACATATTGCAGTAGAATTCCGATGATCTGAGACGATTGGGATTTTGACATTGCCAGAGTGTCAAATATTCCGAATTATTGGACCATACCTGTTATGCAATAAAAATAAAGAGAATAATTTTACAAAAATGTCATGATTAATATACATATGTAGCAATGCTATATATTTATTAACAAAAATGAAAAAATATATGTAGGGGAAGTTGTTGTACCTCGGGCATGGGTTTATCACGGTCCTATATCCAAACCTAAAATGTTCGTGGATGTTTTTGCAAAATTATCAACACTACTTTATACATAATCTGCGAGAAGGCCTACAATAATTAGTTTCCAAGGCTTCGCGACGTCAGTCGAGGCAATACGACAATTTGAAGTTGTTTCACATCAAAAGTAAGGTAAATGTCCCAGTGGTTGGACGTGTAAGGCGAAGATTGCGGTTACGAAGACTTTTTATATGTACAGGGTGTCCCACATAACTCTTAATAGCTCAATATCTCGAAAACTATGCCATCGATTTTAAAGTTCTTGGTCTTACATTGCATGAATCTGAAGGGCCTTTCTAACTACATAAACGTGAAGTGGCCCCCCCTTTCCCTTTAAGCAGGGGCGGGGGTAGGTTCATAATTTTAAATGGAACCCCCTATAAAACGTTCCATATTTAGATTCTACAGGAAAGTACAGGTAAATTTTGTCCGAAACATTTTTTTGTCAGATATTTCCATGATGAGATATAACAGTTTCAAGGGCTCGGAAATTGCGTTATTGAATTATACGCGCTTGAGTCCTTTGCTTACTCGTGAAGAAACAAAAACAATAATATTTACAATTCTTAAGCGCTCCTCCACATTTTGCAATCATCACCAAACAATTTTTGAATGAAAAATTTGGGTACAAATGGATAGGACGTGGGGGACCTCATCAATGGCCTCCTCGATCCCCCGATCTAACACCATTAGATTTTTTCTTATGGGGATATGTAAAGGACAAAGTTATGTTTGAACCGCCGACGACAAAAGAGAATATGAAACAAAGAATACGTGACGCTTGCGCTTCAGTGACTCCCGAAATGTTAACAAATGTTAGAACAACTTTGATGTTTCGAGTAAATAAATGTTTGCAAGCCCGTGGTGGACATTTTGAACATTTAATTTAAAGAACATTTTATTTTTTCACGAATCTCATCATGGAAATATCTGACAAAAAAATGTTTCAGACAAAATTTACTTGTTCTTTCCTGTAGAATCTAAATATGTAACATTTTATAGGGGGTTCCATTTAAAATTATAAAGGTATCCCCCTCCCTTAAAGGGGAAGGGGCGGCCACTTCACGTTTATGTAGTTAGAAAGGCCCTTCAGATTCATGTAATTTAAGACCAAGAACTTTAAAATCGATGGCATAGTTTTCGAGATATTGAGCTGTTAAGAGTTATGTGGGCCACCCTGTATATGTATGTATTGGCCCCATATACTATTCCATTGAAATATTTGTCTCTATCAAAAGAAATATCCATCGGTAAAAATTATTTTATTTTCAATTATTCCAACCATTGGACCAATTATTTGAAAAATCACTTATCAGAACAGATTACTCTCCCTATTAGCTCGGGTAATCGACGTTCTACTGCGATCAGACAGCGAAGTCATGAATACAAGAGGTTTATGTCCGGCGGTCAGTAAGGGGTATCATAGCAGTAGTAAAGTGATATCTAACCCTAAACCTTGCGAAGCATTCCTCTTCTAAATCAATTTCTCTTTTTACACTAATGCTGAAAATTTTCAAAATGCGAAAGACAACCTTATCTCAACCGAGGGGCAAAAAAAAAGGCTGCTATTTATGATCTTAATGAGTTTACTATTTTATTGGCCACATTCATTGTGTCAGTACCATTGACCATAGTTAAAAAAAAATATTTAATAATTCTTTTTGTATATTGTTTAGTGGTGCAGACGTCTGTGCCCCAGAACGAAGCGGAGTTGCAGTTATACAGGGTGATGCAGCGAGCGTCCCTTTTGGGCTACTACGACACGCTCTTAGAAATGGGTAAGATATTGATATAATCTGTTAAAACTGCGATCTCTGCGCAAAACCAGCTGAGCATAAGGTGTTTTCGTTTAATTCTGTACTAAAACTGCCGCTTTCGTCTAATTCTGAACTAAAACTGCTGCCTTTGCATAAAACCGGCTGGAAATAACGTTTTTCGTCTGATTCTATGCAAGGAAACTGTGAACAATGAATACAAACCAAGATCTTTCTGTTTCTGGGCAACTATTTGATCTGCTAATAAAGGAACGGAACTACAGTAAATCCTCGATGAGTGTTCGAAGGTTCCTCGACAATGAAAAGGAGTGGTCCTTGAGACGTAGCACTGGCTTTTTAACGAGGTATATTACAGTGATAGAGCTTGAAATTCTGGAACCAATGGTCTTTATTTCAGCCGCATGTGGCCATTAGTTTATGAAATATTTAGTCTTTAATGCCGAGAAGCCTCATCGAGATTTCTCATCGAAGAACACTCAAGAACACTCATCGAGGATTCACTGTAACATGTAGCTATGTGGTAACTTTGACGAGCTCTGATATGGTAAATCTACATATTATATCGAATATACATAGGTGGACATTAGCAGTGTTGCTATCGATTATCGATAATTTATTGATAGTTATTGATATATCGATAATATCGATAAGATATCGATAACGCGAATATGAGTCATTGATGTAAAATGCAACATGGAATAAATATGTCGCTAACAATAAGATTTATTTATTCTTCTTCGAACTTATTACAGAAAGCATATCATAGTGTATTATAGCAGTTATCATGTTCTTTTATCGGAAAGAATCCGCCTTGTTTTAGGAAGTAATTTGTCACTTGGAACAGAAGTTTCAGAGAATAAACATGTAACAGTTTTAATACCTTCTGTATTCTATCACGTCCTTGGATTATATTTTCTATCAGTTACACTTGAGTGGAAATGTCTCTTATTGTTCGAGTAAAAACATAGGAATGTCATCTATTGTATTCGTACATGTTAAATTCAACTTACCGATATCCTAACGAAATCAATATATAAATTTATCGATATATCGAATTATTAATATACATTCCAATATTGTCGATATTTATCGATAAAGTTGTCGTTAGTAGCATCTCTAATGGACAAGCGTCCGTCGAAGCGCTGTTAAAGTAATTTCTTGTATCAATAATGAACCGTTCGCAGCTAATATAAAATATTCATCGAGACTTCAATTTCTAGTTTACTTTTCGTGTTAAAGTAGTATGAAAAAAAAATGCTTCAGTAGGTGTTTATTGTATATGCTCCCGTTCATAAGTATTACAATGATCAAATATGAAGTAAATGCAATTAAAAATAATGAGCTAATAATAAATATTGTTTAAGGGATGTCAAAGTTTCATGGACAACGCGTATGCTAATATAACGCACTAGAAGTGACCCGAAATATATCCTTTTTATGGAACATTGTATTTTCTTCAGCAGATCAGGTGTTCTAATAGCTGTGAACGACAGTTCGGTTGCATAAAGTTTCGTTTTACTTGGTATTAACTCTCGTGTAATGGCAGGGATCTACCTGTAACATAGCTGTCCGTTCTGTCGATAACAAATGAAAACTCACACAATTTTTTGTAATGTCGTAGGTGGCGACGACTTGCAGCAGTTGTGTGACGCTGGGGAAGAGGAATTCCTGGAGATTATGGCCCTAGTCGGTATGGCGAGCAAACCCCTTCACGTCAGAAGACTACAGAAAGCTCTCCAAGAGTGGCTGACGAATCCTTGTAAGATATTAAGTAATATCTACTGTATTATATTAGATTGGCACATATGAAACTTCTGTACACAGATCTAATTTTCATTGATTATGGCAGATTGGTTTGGAATTATTCAAATGGATATTCAGATGTAACAAGAGCTGAACGTTTTTTAGTGTTGAACAAGAAATTCAAGACAATTAAAAGAAAAATGTACTAAGCAAATGGGTATATGACGAACAGACTCGAGTTCATTTAGTATTTCAGTAACCAAACGAAGCTACATGTGCATTTTCAAGCACATAAACGTATAATTGATTCGAAAATGTATTGTTTTATTATACGTAACAATTGTTAATACAGTTGGCTATGCTATAGACATTATTATAATTAATTTCATATTATTACATAACTTTTTCAAAAGCGATGTAAAAGGCAATTCGATAAGAGGTTTCAATTCAATTTTTTAATGAAACACATTATTTATTTTGAGCAAACTTTGATTTTTTAATGTCAATATAAAGTATATAGACGGCGGTTATAAATAAAATGTTAGACAAATCGCCACTCCGGCTCCTTTTGCAAGCCACCATTCTTTTGTCCAAATTTTGTATACTATGTGCACATAAATGTGACTCTACTTCAGCGATAACATTTCCAATGCTGTTTCTCAGCTTAGAAATTGTTTAGGGATCATTAGCATTGACTTTGCCCGACACGGAACCCCAAACAAAACTGTCTGGCGGTGTTAGATCACAAGATCTGGAAGACTAATTGATGTCTCCTCGTCGAGAGAAGTGAATAATGAGGAATGCGTTCAAGGAACTTGAGTGTAATAAAGTATTTATTCCAAGTGTTGTGTGAGAAACTTGATTGCCAACAATTATTTTTACGTGTTTATGGTAAAGCCTATTTTAACATTCCAAAATGGATTCCAGAGCTAAAAGACAACATTCGGAGTGTTGTCGCTAAAATAGAGTCTTTATGCGACCATATGATAGAAAATTTTGACACAAGGATGGTAGCCTGCAGGAGAAGCCGGGGTGGCCATTTGTCTAATATTTTATTTATAACCGCCATCTATACACTTTATATTGAAATAAAAAAAATCGTCATTTGCTCAATAACTGATCCGTTTTATTAAAAAATTAAAATGAAACCCCTTATTGCATCTCCCTTTGGCTATAAGAATTTCGAGAATTTCTTTCATCGAATTCCATTAATAAGCAAAATTTACAGTAAATATTTTATCGATCGTACTTTTTCTATCACAGACGGCTATTTCATGTGCACCAATCCAATATGATCCTCTTCGTCGTGATCTGCCGTTACAGGGTAGTGATTCATTTCTATTTTACAGCTCTTTTCCAAACGCCAGTAGTACCGACAAGCGCCGCATGTAAGAATCCTCCCGGAATTGGATTCCCATGCGCGAGTCCTAGGCCGCAAGTACAAAGTCTTCAAGGTTTCGCAACGACATCGCAAGCGTCGACGCCGTACGCCTCCTCGTCACACGTGTCTGTCATGCCGTTGCCTTGCAGGAGTACCAGTCCAATTGTGTCTGTTACGAGCGTAACGGCGCCGGTAGCCTCGACCACCTTCCGCCAGAGCCCTAGCCCAAACGCGCCCCTACCCTATGCAACTTCCCATAGCCCCGGTGTACTACAGGTACACTATTATAAACGATTTACTCTAGAAAAGTGCTTACCACTAATCACTGCTATCCACGCAGTTTCTATGATCTGACATTTCTTGAACGGGCTAAAACACTGTTAGAGATTCGAGGCTTTCATGGCCCAGCATCGTGCAGTGGTTACTTTTGGTTAATTGTTACTTAAGCCGTGTTCGTTTATAGAAATGTTCCAAACGTTTTGCAGGCATTGTAGCTAGCTTCATTGGGAAGTGGAATGGTAGACTGTTGTGTGACTTCTTATAGAGTACCTTGCTTATGTGTCGGTTTAATAATCATCAACCAAAGCTTTTAATTGGTCGGTTGAATAACTAAAAAGTGCGGAACAGGTAACTCCAAACTGGTCCGGTGATAGACTGTCTCCCTATTGATGTTTGGGTTTTTCATGATCTTCAATGTTTCCCTATTTTGTTAGGGGGGAGCGCTCTTTTGTTTTCATAATCGTTTCAGTTTTGTTGACGAGAATTTTGCGGCCTGTTGCTTTATGACGTTCTGCAACAGCCGATTGAATGTAACCCAATCCGATACAACGCTAATGTTCCTTGAATGGTAAACTCACGCTCTCTGGAAGGGGTGAGGATTTTACCAATTTTTCCTCATATCGGGTAGTCCCTCCACCACCTATAATAGTTGTTAATAAATGTTAGCGTCGCGGACCTCATGAAAACAAGGGATCAGAGTGGGGAAATCGTAAGAGTTAGTCAACTTTTTAAATAAGGCTGTTCTAATACGAGCATGATCATCTGGGGTAACTTTACGGGCAAGAGCGCTCTTCGCCACTCGTAAATGGCAATGAGCGCACATAGTATAAACCAGCAGGAGAAGTAGCTTCATGTATCATCGTTTCATTTGATCTCCTGATGAAACAAACTGCAATGCTTGCGAAACATTGGGAACATTTTTCCAGAAGGACACGAATTACACCTGAAAGCTTCAACAGTCAACGCTGTATTATACCAAGCCCGGTGTTTTCTTATTTTTCATTTATCTTCACGAAAGTTGAACCAACAGATTAACGTGAACTTTTTGATGAAAATGAGCAGAAAGCACGGCGAACATTTCATCGACATGTAACGTTCGATTGTTATACACTATTATACAGTAATTAAAATTCTATACAATTACAAGTAGTCGGAATGTTGTCGTGTTCTGCATCTTTACGTTGTTGTCCGATTCCCAATCGTGATGACCTTTAAAAATAAAAATGTTGAACGTTCGACAATGTAAAATGAGTCGAAATCGGGTTGGACACGAATAGCGCTGTTCAATACGAAAAAATTTTGGGAATTTTCAATATGCGTTTTTGATAGACCTGTATGAGCGGAATACGAATCTGCAAACCGTTTCTTTCCAACACATCCAGTTTTTGAAAAAATAAATGTTTACAAAAATCGCAAATCTTCAACTTAGGATCTGTGTTGTGCTTTTACAGTACTAGTTATACAGTTTCTTTTGACACGGTTTAATTCTCTGGACTCTTTCGTACAAAATGATATACATTGATATTATATGTATTATAGATATCTAAATATGTTTAAATAATGTTTAAAGTGAAACGGACACCAAGGACGCACCAATTTTTGCTGATATTCTTCAATTTATTTCCAAAACTAAGGATCTAGGAGAAAATCCAACCAGAGCACGGGATAGATCAGACCTTTCTGCTGAGGAAGGTGTCAAAGAAAGTTAATAACTCTGTTTTTTTTTTCAATAGCGAAGCAAAATATTTCAGCAAAACACGCGGCAGCGACAGTGATACTCAATGACGGCGGTCGCCTGGCCTGCCGCTCATTGTTAGTGTATAGTGCCTTCCCGAGTTATACTGACTTCGTAAAAATAGCAGAGGTTTGGCTCCTTCACGCCTTTAAATATTTCGGTGGTAGGTCAAGCACCCAGGGACGGTCAGGCATATTATATTTTGCGGGTGGTGGTTGTTGGAGCCTTCTAGGTATACGTATGTATACCAAACGATAAATATACATTTGTTAGCCTCTTAAATAGTTTTAAGTCCTATGAAAATAAATATTTCAAAATTGAAGGGTACATAAAATATGTCAGATAAGTAGTAAAAAGAAGTAATAATAACGAAAATTGATGCGTTTTCGGTGTTCCTTTCACTTTGAACATTATTTAAACATATTTAGATATCTATTACATAATAACAATTATATCATTTTGTTCAGAAGAGTCCAGAGAATTGTTTCGTTTCAAAGGTAACTGAATAACTATTACTGTAAAAGCACAACACAGCTCCAAAGTTGAAAGTTTGCAATTTTTGTAAAAATTTGTTTTTTCAAAAACTGGACTTGCTGGAAAGAAACGGTTTGCAGATTCGTATTCAGCAGATCTACGAAGAACGCCTACTAAAAGTTACAAAAACGAAAAAAAGGTAAAATTTGTTGAACAGTGCAATCGGTGCGGGTCATTTAATGGTATAAAAAATATTAGATTGAGTCATTAATATCTCCCACTCTTCTTTTTCAAATTTCTTTTTCTCGACGATAATTTGCCATTTCCAGTAGTCTAGAATGTCTTTTGCATTATTATTGATGAACAAAAGTTCAGTTGTTTGTTAGACGATCTGAAAAAGTTTTTTTTCCACCCGTGGGGGAAGTTAAGAATCAACCGAATATTTATGGTGTTACAATGACATGTGTTCAGCAACTGAGACATTGTTGTTTTTGTTAGGTAGGAACTTGCGAATCGTCGTGTGGCAGCGGAACAACCCCTAGTCCAGGGGGTGGTGGAGGCGCACCTGCGAGCCCGACGCAGCCAACCCCAACCCTCCTCCAGTCGCAAATGCAGAGACTAGCAGAGACGGCCGAAAGACTGGCGGCTACCTTACGACCGGTGGATCCAAAGCCTCATAACATTAAGAAAAAGATTTCCAAGAATTTAGAGGTAGTTTTTGTATATCCTGGCGATAGAACTATACGCTCAAAAACTTCTGTTTGTCTAATTTTTCTTATTGAAAACACAAACCGAGTTACTTAACCCTCATCCGTCCCTTGTGTCAATTTAACATGTTTTTCTTCTAAGAAATTATGTTATTCTGTTATGAGTAGGTTAATTTATATAATGCGTCAATTTAACACCGAATGGCAATTTAAGTTGGAAAAATGAGAGACAGATGAGGATTAATATGAGAGGAAACTGTCGTTCAAATAAGGCTTCTTTGGAAATATGCTTCTAAGGTGTCGTCGTGGTAAACGTGAAGAAATTAATATTCCACAATTTATAAATTTTATTGGGATGAAAGTTAAGTTACTAAACGTTGCAATAAATACATATTTCTCCCGTAAAGTTTGTCCATAAAGATAATGTTTAGGTACTGTCTCAACCAGTGTTCATTATAGGACAGCCTAGAAGTATTCTTCCACGTAATCTTATTTGAAAAACTGTTTTGTCGCGAGTTAACCAATTGTTCTGAATTTCCCACCTGGGTCGATTATCACAGAACGTTAATTTTAACACATGCATTGCATTGAACCAAAAATTCGTTCGGAATTTAAAGAACAACGGAGGCCTGAATATTAAACAATTATGTTTACATTTCGTCAAGAATGTATCCACCACTATTTTGTATGATCTACGACCATCTTATTGGAGTCATTCCACGCGAAATCGGACTCTCTTTGGAGTAACATTTCGGATTTTGTTGATACTTGGATATGTTCTAGCCTGTACCGTACTAATATAATAACGCAATTATTAACTTAATTGCTGAACTCTTCTACGTATGTCAAACGTCGAATTAACGATGTGTGAGTGTGTTTGAAATGATTTTAAATAAAACCTTGCGTTTAGAGAGGACTGTATAATTTGATTGTGAAACAATCAACAAGTCTGAACTGTGGATGTGAGGCAATATATAGTGTGGATAAGATTCTCTATGCTATCGAAGACGATGTGTATTGGTAAACGAACAGTGTAGATCTGGTTAAAAACTATAAGTCAGTAAAATTTCTCGGTGTGCGTGGAGCTGGTGGTGCGTTGACGCGTAGATGGGAGACGCAGTGAATATTCTGATAATCTTATTGACTAAGACAAGCTAGAAGCACTGTGATTGGCGGAAATTCTTTAATTATTGTCATCGACAGTAGGGTAAGGCCGATCCGCGCGGAGACCGGACTTCCGTCGCAAGTAATATTCGCCCATATGGCGAACACTTTGCCTGACTCGAGGCATAAATGGTAATAAAACAATTAAAAAAGGCCTGAGTTTCGCCGTTTGGAAATTAATAAAAAGTCACGTAGTAAATCCTAATCTCGGTCTTAGCAGCTGTAGAAAAAACAATGACAGTAAAATGACCGTAACAGTACTTCTAAAAAGTATATACAGAGTGTAACAAAAATGTTCGACCCGGAAATGGGGCATTCGGGGGGTGAATTGGAACAAGTTTTTCCTTAGCAACAATGTAATCTGAGGCTTCGTTACCGAGATATTAACGAAAAACGGCGACCAATCAGAGCGCGAGTTTGCCAGCCGAGTTCCCGCGGTAACGTTAGCTACAAATCACAGCACGTAGCCACCGCTAGAGCGGGAACTCGGCTGGCAAACTCGCGCTCTGATTGGTCGGGGTTTTTCGTTAATATCTCGGTAACAAAGCCTCAGATTACATTGTTGCTAAGGAAAAACTTGTTCCAATTCACCCCCCGAGTGCCCCATTTCCGGGTCGGACAACATTTTTATTACACCCTGTATACATATATGACGCGACAAGTCTTTAGTGATATGTAAACGTATCTCGAAGGATTTTTTAACATTTAAAAAATTTTCTTCAATTAATTTCCATATGGCCAATTTTAAAGTCCCCATATCTTTGACAATGTGTACACCGACGAGTAAACTCGGCTTCCACTAGGGAAAAAAGTAACGCAGGGAAGGGCCTTCTACTATTTGAATTTGGAAGTTTCAGAAATTTATGCCAAATTTACATCCGATTTAATATTTATTTCAGTACCTGAAATAAATTTATCAAGTGGTAGAAAGCCCATCTCTTACGTCAATTTTTCCCCTAGCGGAAGCCGAGTTTGCTCGTGAGGGTACATAAAGAAAACAAATAAGACTATATTTTTTTCTTTCATTGATTCATTTTTTTCAAATTTTTAAATAGTGTCCCGCTATTATAACATCGCATTTATTTAAAACAATTGCAAAATTAATGGTGAAAAAAAATTTTCTTTAAACTGAAATAAGTGTTATTAAGGTACTCTTATGTCTCCACTATAAGCACTTCGCAAAGCCCATTTTGAATAACTTGTTACTTCAACAGTTATGATTTATTGAAAAAGCGTTGACACTATATTTCAAACAGCTATAAAATAAAAAGTAATTCACAAACTGACTAGAACATATCCAAGTATCAACAAAATCCGAAATGTTGCTCCAAAATGTGTCCGATTACGAATTGAATGACCGAGCTACTTCATTATTCCGTCTATGTAGAATTTTGTAAGTTTTTCATTAAGGAACAGATCGAGATAGTTTTCGATATCTTCAAGAAATACAAATAATTCACCATTTAATTTATTTTATAGTGTTCGGAACAAGTGATAATCCAATGATGCAATATCTGGTGAATATGGGTGGTCTAAGGCATCCTATCCTAGTTGCAATAATTTTATTCGGGTTATTAAAGAATGGTGGTGGAAGACTACACCTTTACGATTCTTCAGATCGAGACGTTTTTCTTTGACTGCATGTTTTAGTTTTTTTTAATTGAGTACAATAAACAGACTAGCGGTACAACCGGATAGGGGTTGATTTTAACGTGAAAAAATAAGTCGAAAGTAATAGAATAACATTTTTTCGTTTAAGACTTCGTTTTCGTGAAAGTTGACTTTGAAAATCTGCTGGATACGCGTGCAATTGAATAAAGGCAAGTGTCCATTTGAGAGTTTCTCGCGCGAATTGGGCTCGAGAGTACTATCACGTGGTGTATCCATTTAAGAGTAACTTCAAGATTTTTTACTCTCAGATAGTCGCTAGAACGCTCGCCGAGAGTTTACTGTCTGACGGAAGTCTCAGAATCGTATTCACTAGACTCTCGTGTGTAGTGACTAGAGATTCATCCGTGCCCATCTGTTCTGCAGTTTGTTTTGAACTTAGCGTGCCGTGAGATAGTGGTTGTGGACGTGGAAAAACTGTGTGCCCTTGTTATTGCGTACAGTATTATAAAAAAAAGGAAAGAGAAACACAGACATTATTTTTGCCGGACATTATGTTTCTCACGCGACAGTTCTCGCAGGAATACGAAATTGTTTTGTTCTCAGCGAGCGACTGTCGGATAGAATATTACTGACTGTCCCGGGTTGCTCTCGAGAGTACTTCTCGGGAGTGGATCGTTCAATTGTATGTCAACTGTCTGTGTGTTTGTTGTATGTCGTGACAGTACTCTCGGGTGCAACTCGCGCGAGAAACTCTCAAATAGACAGCTGCTTTAAGATGCAGCTAGCGCGTCTGCTCATTGCATTCTCTTTCTACTTATTATCATGACGATACACGCGTTTCAGATTACTTTTCAAAGTCGATTTTCCCAAAAAATCAAAAATCGAACAATCAAATGAAAAAATTTTATTCGATATTGTAGAATGAGAAACTATAGGATGGTGAATTGTCTCTCCTATGGTGTTGGGTTTGTGCGAGGTAGGTAATAAAATAATCGGATGCACTGTTACTTAACAGGAAATAAGGAATATATTGTATATTTAAATATACGTATACTATGGCTCTTCTTACAGTTCTCTGACAACTTTGTACTTTTTACTCTGACATTACTCTGCTCACTCAGCCACTCACAAATTTGGCATCATGATCAATTGATCTCTTTCACACCATAATACAGGGTGTTCCAAAATAAGTGTAAGTCCTTGAAAGGGGTGATTCCCGGGGTGATTTAAAACAACTTTTTCGATACCGAAAAAGTTGTCCGAGTTTTTGTTAACGAGATATTAACGAAAAACTGCAACCAATCAGAGCGTGAGTCTGCCGGCTGAGCTCCCGCGGTAACGTTGGCTACGCCGATTTTATTTGTTGCGTCTTTGTCATTTGCTATTGTACGCAGTTTCCTTCGATGCATGCCGACTTGCTTGTTCGTAGTACAAGCGCAACGCGTAACCAACGCTACCGCGGGAGCTCAGTTGGCAGACTCGCGCTCTGATTGGTCGCGATTTTTCGTTAATACCTCGTTAACAAAGCCTCGAAGAACTTCTTCGCTAAGGAAAAAATTCTATTAAATCACCCCAGGAATCACTCCTTTTAAGGACTTACACTTATTTTGGGATACCGTTATACAGTTTCTACCCTCCCTCCCTTCCGCCCTCCCACCCTCCTCCATCCCTCCCTCCCTCTCCCCCACTCTCTCTCTCTCTTTTCTTACACGTAGTAGTGGCTGGTCACAAGCTGACGGTAGACCAGGGTCACCACCCTAATTAACGAGCTATCGGCCATTTGTTCTTTCGAGATTTATTCGTCAGCTATCGATCTAAACAACGCACTCACACGTTTACGTACACGACACGCATACTGGTGACTGGGGCGACTACCTCCCAAATGTTGTTATCTGTGGGTCATTCACGCGAAATCGGACACCTTTTGGAGCACCTTTTCGGATTTTCTTCCAAATTGGATATGTTGTAGTTTTTATCGATATATAAACGTTTCTCGAAGGATTTTTGAACATTTTTAAAATTGTAGATTTTACAGCTGTTTGAAATTTTGAGTCAACCTTTTTTCAATAAATCATAACTATTAAACTAACAAATTGATCAAAATGAGCTTTAGGAGTACTTACAGTGGAGACATAAGAGTACCAAATAAAAATTATTTCAGTTAAAAAAAGATATTTTTTAACCATTTATTTTGCAATTGTTTTAAATAAATGCCCTGTTTTTATACCGGCGAACTATTTAAAAATTTGAAAAATAAGTACATAGCCCTATTTGTCCTCTTTATGGGCATATTTTCAAAAATATGAACACTTTAATATTGACCGCATGAAAATTAATTGAAGTAAACGCTGCATCGAATTACACCGGCTTTACCGGCCAAGCCGTGTGGTACTAGGCTAGCCAGTACGGCTCGCCCGTTCGAGTCGATGTGATTCAACGCAGCGTTAACTTTAATCAATTTTCATATCGTCAATTTTAAAATCTCCACATTTTTAAAAATTTGTCCATAAGGAAAACAAATAGGACTACATCCTCAATTTTTTTTCAAATTTTTCAATTGGGCCCTACTATTATAAAATTACATTTCCTTAAAACAATTATAAAATAAATGATTAAAAAATATTTTCTTCTAACTGAAATACTTTTAATTAGGTACTGTCATATCTCTACTATAAGTATCCACAAAACTCATTTTGATAAGTTTATTAGTTCAACAGATAATTCATTATTCGACTGGTCGACCTTGTGTGAATCGACGCTGCGTTCACTTCAATTAATTTTCATACGACCAATTTTAAAATGTCCATATTTTTGAAGACATGCCCATAAAGAAGACAAATATGGGCTATATCCTCATGTTTTAAAAATTTTTAAATAGTTCGGCAGTATAAAACAGGGCATATATTTAAAACATTTGCAAAATAAATGGTTAAAAAATATCTTTTTTTAACTGAAATAATTTTTATTTGGTACTCGTATGTCTCCACTGTAAGTATCCGCAAAGCTCATTTTGATCAGTTTGTTAGTTCCATAGTTATGATTTATTGAAAAGGTTGACTCTAAATTTCAAACAGCTCTAAAATTTACAATTTATTAAATTTTCAAAAATCCTTCGAGATACGTTTATATATCGATAAAGACTACAACATATCCAATAGGAACAAAATCCGAAATGGTGCTCCAAAAGGTGTCCGATTTCGCGTGGAATGACACCTGTGGTTCTTACGGTCACTTTCTCTTTCTTACTTTATCATCCATACCTATAATATTGTTGCGTGGACGCGGCATGACTTCCGAATAAATAAGGGCAATATTAATAAAAAGGAAGAATTATTTATTTGGAGGGGAAGAGTACTTATCTTAACACGTCTTTTCTATTCTACAGTGGTATCACGACTCTACTCTGTTTTTGTTTTGGTGTTGTTACCAAAACGACGTCGCTAACCTGAAGTCTCTCGCTTTAACATTATACAATACGTGTTACCTATCGGGTAATACGTAACAATATTTTCGCTTTATTTTGTCACGTTGAATCACCCTCTACACGGTTGTACCACCAGTCACACGACATCCTGTATATTTAAATTAACGGTCTGGGTACTTGGTAAGAATTCGTAGTTCAGGATTCCCTTCCAATCGCATCACGTACACAGCATCTCGTTGTTTTGGATGGAATTCAGCTTCAGGTTATTGTTGTACGGGTTCACCTCGTTTGCTGCAGGATCTTTTTCTCTTAATGTTACACTGTAAGATTCTTGAACACTTCAAGCATAATACGTTTCTACTCCATTTAAGAAGTGCATCGCAAACAGAAATGTTGCCGATTCAATTTTTTACATGCCCGATCACTCACAACATTGTTTCCATACATCGCTAAAATCTTTTTTTGCATCTGAGTGTCATTTTTGCCCTTTAAAAACTAATAGAGCACTGTCTACGGGCAATTCACTTTCTGATCTTCTATTTTCAGATCAATCACACGCTAGTTTACGATATTTTTTTAAACTGAAGAGAAAAGATCGGAGAATACAATCATATATATAATTTATAGGTTATAATTGCGGCCAGTAATGCAGCAGATGAATCGCTTTCATTTCTCAGTAGAAAACCGAATGCATTTTCGGTTCAACCCAATGATTTTAAATTATGAATGAGGCAAAACTTGGCTGCTCTATAGCAGTTAGGCCAACGCCTACTGGGGGATATGGCACACCGTTAAAAAGCTTATGAGCACCACAAGATTAGCCAGAGCTTCCACAAACGACCCTTCAGAATATATACACCAAAAATAATAATCCGTCAGAAATATTATTTTTCTTAAACTGCTTCTAACCAACACAGAATCAGTATTTTGCTTTGAATCAGTGATTCGTTTTTTTAAACTGTCTTTAACCATTACAGAATTAGTATTTTGTTTTATAAATAAAAATAAACTACAATATGCACACGGACCATACCCTCCAGTGGGCATTATATTTTACGAAAAAGCGGGAGGATCTATTCAGATTGCTTTGTTTAGATGATAATGGCAATGCCTGACAACGATCCACGCCGAATGGAAGAGATCCGAAAGTACGCGGCGATTTACGGAAGATTCGACTGCAAGAGGAAACCCGAGAAATCACTGACATTGCACGAAGTGTCGGTAAATGAAGCCGCTGCGCAGATATGTAGGTTCGTACCTGCCCTTCTTACTAGAAGGGACGAACTTTTTCCTTTGGCCCGGCGGGTTGTCAGAGATTCTGGGTATCATTATTCAAAAAGTCATTAGTAAGTACCTTGACTGGAAGATTAGTTCAATCATTCCCTCTACACGCTTTAAACGTTACTTAACACGTTCAAGTTGGCCGAACACACCGCCGGATCGAATAGTGAAATTAAGAATACTCGGATCCACGGACGAAGGAACAACTTTAAGGGGTGTTTCCCATTTCTCGGGTCGGAAACACATTAGTTACCTTATTTTTTTTTACATTTTTTGAACGCTTGCGATCTTACGAACCTTCCACTGAAACTATTTGTTTCGTACGATAAGCAAACGAAAAAATGTACCACTAATAGACATTCCAAATTGTATTGCTTGTCGAAATCAGGTGCTCTGAAAACTCTGATAAAGCTAATTACTCGAATAGAAGAGAGAACAGATCTAGAACGGATTTGCAAATGAAAAAAAAGGCGTTATACATATGACAGACATTATGTCCTGTGAAGTAGCAAATTAGACTTTGACTATATAAATTATCTCGAAAACTGTGCGTCGAAACTTCTAATCTCCTATGTGTCTAATCAGTGTGAAATTTTGTATAAACATAAACATATTTTGAACGCTCCTTTTCTGTTCGAACTAAAAGAATTGCAAAAACTTTAAGGCTCATTTTTTTTGTAAAATTACGTGGCAAAAACTGTTGAGAGAAAATCAATTCTTTTCGTTTCTTGCTTTTAAATTTGTTTAAAAATCACTATTCAATAATAGTATTGTTACGAAAACTGTGAGACCACAGAGTAGAATATATCAAGGCCTACTCGTCGGTGATTCCTTCCTCGTGACGTTCTTGAAAATCGGGGGTTTACTTAAGAAAAAATTTCGTTGGATATCGTCTATTTGAAATTTTAAAAAATTGATTAAATGTAGGGCCTGAAAACGGAAAAGACCCCTTAACGTTTTGTCAGTTGTATGGGAAGTTTTAGTTTGTTGAATGTGATAATAATAATATTAATACACGAGATAGCATATCGACGTGAACGTGTTAAAATTATACGAGATCGCTTCGATCAACTCTGTTTTTATAATACTTCTGTTTAAAATGCTTCAGCCTGTCTGTGTCGAGGCGACGCGAGAATGGCGAAGAGAGCGAAAGCGAGCGCGCGAAGAGGCAAAAGCTCGAGCTCGAGGGTGAGAATGAAGATGGGACGCAGGTTAGCGCATCTCGGCCATAAAAATACAACTCTGTGCAGGAGATTCCGTTTGAAGATGGTTGTAAACGTGATTTTGGAAACGAGGATTTTCTCAAATCTCGATTATGTACATAATTGCGCGCCCTCTGGGCAGCACGGAGATGAATGTTTCACAGCCGTTCGTCGAGTCCTACGTTTTCAATAACATCAATCTGGAATCGTTAGCATATTAATGAGGCTGCTGTGTAACCGCATGAGCGCTAATTACTAACTATGCACCCAGCACGTAAACAATCGCAACACCTAAAACTGCCACTTGGTTGACACGCACCGCGAACCGCAGCCGAAAAAGGTCAAGTATAGCTTCTGCGTAACATGCATGGCTTTATATACCGATTGCATGCGATCACTGTTCCATTTTCAGAGAAAAAGAATAACAAACTGGTTTTGCATAGAGGAAAGTAGCCAAATATGGAATACCATTTTGTTTTTCGAATGTCTTCCAAAAAACTTTTATGGGTATTCAGGCATATATCTACGCTCAATGTAAGAGAAGTCTTATATTTCTAACGTTATGAACAATATTCAGTATTGAACTAACATTAAAAAAAATATATAAATTGTACCTAATATGGAATAGGTACCTAAGTATGGAACACTGATATTAGGTACAATATTTGGAGCTAGATTAGGTACAAACTTTTACATGGAAAGAATACAGAAATAATAGTTTCATTCTTCTGATTAATTAAGGGACTTTGGTTATAAAATCATTTTTTTTTAAATTAAATAAAAACATAGCTATTTAAAATAATCACATGTCCAAATGTGAAATTCTGCACCAGCACATTTGCCATGTTTCATATTTGGAACTTCACAAAGTTAAACACACTCTGTTTTTAAAAAAGTTTACTAAAAACAAAAAAAAAAACAAACAAGCATGGCAAAGTAATAATAAATACGAAAAATCCATCAAATTAACCCTAAAAGAAAACAAAGCGATCTTGCCACGTCATTAACGTTCGTTCAATTGACGACTCAAAATGTGTCAATATAGTCTCTAGTAGTGCCATAAATTCGACCTTTAACGAACGTAACTTTATGTACCATGCAAATTGAAACGGATTGTAATCTTTTAAGATTCCTTATTTTTAAGGTGTATTGAAACGTGAAATTCCGTAATACTATTCGAAATGATCACCTTTTGCTTGCGTACACCTTTTAAAACGATCTGATCATTTACCGATTGCCTAAAAGTGACTGACAACGCCACTTGCATTTAAATCACGTGAAAAACTTCAAAAGCAAATAACTCAAAAAACTTTCGAGTACCTGCTCCTATATGGGAGGGGGGGGGGTGATATGTAAAGAGCCTATACGAGCCCTACCACGAGTCGTAAAAGTTCCATTCATATCGGTACCCCGAAGTTGGGGCCCTCTCCTTGTAAGTGTACGTAGAAATAGTATTCTCAATCCTAAAGTTATACCGTCTGATTCTACCAAAACATGCAACATTTTCAGATCATTGTTCTTCCAATGAACAATATTGGTATCAATAGGAAGTCTATTTCATCTTCTACATAAGCTTTTACCCACTTTCCATAAATCTCAATACTGCATTGTCAATACATTGTTAAATATGATTACCAGAAACATCGTAATTTGTATCTTTTTGCTTTATTAATGAATGTGACATGCGCAATTCATGTACAAACTACAATTAATATATTTCTTTATATGAATATTTTAGATTTTATTGTAAATGGAATGTACTAGCTTATAGAACTTTAAAAAAAGTTAGATAATTAAATCGTGTTGTACGGTTGAATGCTATTATAAATTTAAAAAGTTATAATTATCTAAAGTTTGTACCACGGAGTTGCACATAGTTTTTTCAGTATTCGATATTACACAGACCTTGAGATTTAAGGAGAAACGTTACGACGTTATTGATGTTATAGTATTTATTGGCCTACTAAAATTATCTGAGATTAATTGTAGTAATGTAACTCCTTTCTTACACACTTGTTAGGACTCTACGCTCTGTTCCTGGCGTCCTGACGAGTCGTGTCTACTTTTACTATTTCCACTGTTTCTTAACCGCTAATTTCTTCTCTTCTATTGTACCTGACGCGATATATTTGCTACGTCTACTGTCTACAGCAGTTCACTGTTTCAGGAGGAATTGGACCTTCGCTGCTCCGAAATGGATATTAACAATTCTTTGATCAGGAGACACAGGTCGTCAAGGTGATTATCTCGAAATCAATTTTTAGTTGTAGTAGAATATTCAAGAAGTACTGGTTGATACAGAGGTTTTATCATGTTTATACGAACCTTTACATATTTGAAACATAATTGTTTGTATTTTCTGTTCCTCAAGAAGTAGTATTTCATAGCATAAAATGTTAGTATTATTCCCTTAATGTTATCCTTATGTTTGGTGATACAATTTTTGTTTCATTTAGGCCCGGTACACATGAGCGGCACGCGTCATTTTGTAGTCGCGTCAATTTGACGCTGCGTTTTGGCAGTAAATATACATATACACTTACTTATGTGAAACAATTCACATATGTCGCAGATTTTAACGGCAACTTCGTGTCCTGTTTGCGTTTTAACAAATGAATACTAGAACGCAACTAGAACGTAGCATTTTAACATTGCATGTACAGGGTGTCTCAGCTAACTTGATCACCTGAAATAATGACTTAACGTATACTTTATGCAAGTTTTGAGGCGTGGAACTTAAATGGTATCAAGAGGTACATCTTATAAAATACGTGCATTTTTTGTAAGTGGAGGCATTTCACATATTTCAAGATATTTACAAAATAGTCACTATAGTGAAATCGCTGTATTGAAGTTGAGGGGCATCAGTTCGAGCACCTATAGTTTCCAGATAGTAAGTACATATTAAAAATTATTTTATAAATATCCCGTTAACTATTAGATTTAGGTGGTGGTCAACACATTTTTCCTCGGAATTTCATACTCTATCGATCTATGGTACAAAAAATAGGTCATTCCGTTAAAAAAAAATCAAGGTGACCTTGAAATCTCTGAAATGCCTCCACCCACAAAAAAGCACGTACCTTATAAGATGTGCCCCTTGATGCCATTTAAGTTTAACGCCTCCAAATTTTCATAAAGTATACCGTTAAATCATTATTCGAGGTGATCAAGTTAACGGAGACATGCTGTATGTATACATATGAAACGGTTCTCACATGACGCAGGTTTCAGCGTAAACTTACGCGTAACTAGCGGCGCAGATAGTTAATTTTTTCAGAAAGGAACGCAGGTATTGCAAATTGCAAATGTGACGCTAAAATCTCAGCGAACAAGCAGTCAATTATTTTTCTCGAGCCTCGTTATCGTGTTTTGACATTCTACGTTTTTATGCATTTTTGCATGTGGTTCATCAAAAGATTTCACATTCATTGTGAAGTAGTTACAAAATTTGACCTCATCTTCCCTTAAATCGAAAAACATATTAAATTCTCCGTGCACAGGTAAATGGATGAACCTAATACACACGTTCTCTTCCGTTATGATCTATATAATATATTATAAGATATATACCTATATAATGAAATAATTTTCCTTTTGCGCTCTGCTAGTGTCAACGTCTCCATGGCTGTATCGATACTAGCAGAGAATCAAAATTGACATCTGCCGATGATATGAAAACTGACGCAGTTGCAAACTCGACGCGAACTGGACGCATAGTTGCCGCCAAAATCTACGTCACCACTGAATTACTTCATATACAAAATAAATGTACTGTTAAAACGCAACGTCTAAGTGACGCGGTTGCAAAATGACGCGTGCCGCTCCTGTGCACCGAGCCTTTAATCGAATTCAGCGTTGAAAATAATATTCCCGTTTAGATTTAATTAAAGCTTTAAATTCTTGTTTAACTAGTACAAATTCAACGTTAAAACGTCCCTTTAAATAGAGTTTCCTATTTAAATCGTCTAGTTTAATACGGGGTATGAACAAGGTACAGTACTTTACAAAATTACTTTAAAATTATACAACTTCATTGTTGACCGTTTTTTATAAGAACAGCACAAATTTTGTGTACCAACTTCATGTATTATATAAAGCAGAGCTGCATAAGTTCTGTTCCCGGAGTCAGTCTCCCACTCCGGGGGTATCCCTGCTACGCGACTCAGGCTACCTCGCGCTCTACGTACGGAGTACGGAGCGTCGCATGTTACGGCGCTGCGGCCCGTGCAGGGAGAGGTCTTATCGCTGGCGGTGTGAGGGGAAGATCTCTCCTCAGTCCCCATACGGGCCGTAGCGCCGTAGCATGCGACACTCTGTACTTAGCGCGCGAGGTAGCCTGAGCCGCGTAGTGGGAGAACCATGGAGTAGGAGACTTGACTCCGGGAGCAGAAGTTATGCAGCTCTGATATAAAGAATTGTCAAAATTTCAGAACATTCGAAACAAATTGTTTGTGTACATATTAGTGTTCAGATGTTTGCATTGTTTTAGTCCAGTTTGGAGGAAGAAGAATAACAATGGTATGTTCAGTGGAAGTATTGAAGGAATAAGTGATTCGGATAGTCAACTTTCCTTTTCTAACGAGGAATCTTCGTCGATACACGTAAGCAAAATTATAAATTGAGAAGGAAACGAATACTACGAATAATGTCTTCCTGCTGCGTTTAAGCTATTTTAAAAGTCGTCTAATAATTATTTGCAGGATACCAATGAAATTGAAGGAGATAACACCGATAAAGAAAGTGATTTCAATCTTAAGGTATTTGTACAATGTAAAAAGAGCATTACAAAATTTACATTTTTTATTTTTTTGTAAAAAATTCAGTTATTAATAAAATATAGAAATATACATATATTGAGTTGAGTCATAAACGCTTTCCACTGTATGTGAAGAAAACTTCATGAATAATAGTAATTTAATAATAATGATGGAAAAAATACATTACATGAATTGCGAAATGTTCCACACTACAGGAAATTTATTATGACTCATTCCAATATTACCCTGATAGAAATTAATGTTTTGCTTTATATTTTATATGCAATGTATTAACAATTGAAATCAATTCAGGTAATAGCGTCGCGTGGAGACAATATAATTGCAGTGGCAAATCCTGCCCTGATGGAATGTAGCCATCCTATAAAAGAAGAACCAACGGACGAGAAACCTACACTGTGATATAGTTTAAAAAATTGTATCGTTGCATTTGGATGATTTCTAAGATCACGTTCCAGCTTACGTATTAAAATTAGTATTATCATTACCTGTATTCGACTGTTGACGCATTGATTAGTATAACGATACGTACACCGATCAGTTTTATTAATTGTCTTTCATAAAATTTACAAAATTAGATTATTACAATTGGTCGTTGCATAGTGTTAATAAACTCTTGATACACATTATGAATTACAAGATCATCTTTAGATATTGTATATAAAAATCTTATTTAAATCAAAAGAAAACACGTCGACTGAAATATAGTTACATACTGAATAACATTAAAATTTGTAAATATACAATGAACATTTTTTATGTTATGTATCGCATTTTTAAAGTAATGCACACTTTGTCCTATAATTAGTATAAATTAATAAAAACATACGAAGAGTTTTAAAAAACGTATATAAATATTCCTATACATGAAAAATCGATGATTCTTAATTATGAATCGACTCAAACAATTAATAATAATCTTTACTTTCAGCCTCACGGCTAAGAAATTGACTTGATTTACATTAACTAAATTTTATATTACTACCTTACCCTTACTCAATTTCTTCATATAACGACTACATAATGATCGCTGATCTTATAATGCTTGTAAACGATAATTAAATCTAAATATAAATTTCACGCGATGGGTACATGATATATATGTACATATATAACAGTTAAAGTTGAAAATTGAGTATCCGCAGCAAATTTGGCATGAATATTCTTCGACACCATAGAAAAAGCACCCATTGTAGGTTTTTGTCACTGCCGCGGTGACCCCTCGCGCTGCCCCCTGAGGGGTGACACTGGGGGTGTCACTCTTATCACGGCCAGTTCAGAGGAGAAGACAGTCGGTTGGAGGAGGAGGGACGGTTAAACCGTCCCTGGGCGGGCTCCGACCCCCCCCCCCTAACGAAGAGTGCTCTTCCCCCTTAATCATGTGCAAAAGCGATTCGCTCGGCGTGGAATGACCCACATAGGAAGAATTCCTCCATCTCTACTAACAATTATTAAGGATAAAGGCTTCTAGAACTAAAGTCATATATTCATTTAACGTAGAAAATTACAAACAATCCCGTAAAGAAAAAAATATGTAGTTAGAGAAACGATGCGATGAAAACTGCTCCAAAATTATTTTTGTTCATACTTTAGAATAAAAACATTTTAAACTATTTTTAAAGTGCTTTTAAATAAATACTGGTCATTTTCATTTAGCTAGAAATTAGAAAAATATAATTAATGTAATTAAAAAAGAAAGTGTGTATGGCGGGGTGCGAACCCACGGTCGAGTTTGCAGTGGTTCCGAAAGTCGAGCACATAGCCGCTGCATTTTTTTTTTTTTCATTCAAAGTATGTTTATTTCAGGGCTTATAACAATTTAACAATATGAGGAACTATAAAAATAAACGAAAAGTTTCTTCTTACTATAATACTTAATACTAATGTATAAGGCACATTAGAGGTTTAAACATATTTCTGCTTTTCTTAGAGGAGTGGTTGAGGCCTACTCCACATACTATTTAGCTTGTATCACAGAAATACACTAATACACAGTACACAGCCGCATTTGATACTAACATTTCTGTTGCTCCCGAAAACGCCCTTAACAAAACTAGGAGCTTGTATCTTCATTTTTTATATTTGTATCTATATCTATATGTACACGCGAAGGATGAGAGTTGAGATGAGGTGATACTACTTACACATGAGATGGAGATGATATGAAATGAGATGAGGTGGAAACCGAGAATAAGAAGAAAGTTATTTACAAAAGGAGTAAGATAGGTCGAGGGGGAAGGAAGGTGACCATCTATTATTTATATTATTTGCTGTTAATGAGATCAATATTTAAATCTATTCTAACATTGCGCATGGTTTCTTTGGCTTGAAGTAACAGGTTACATTGACAACCTTATGTCTAACACTTACTATTCGCTTAGTCTTACATAATGTAATACTGTTTAATTATAATACTGGTTCCGATTTTGATGGAAATTGCACTCTAGGGCGGTTTATACCTGTCGGCTAACCACCAAAATTTCTTATAATCTATTTTCTTAATTCCTAGAAGATCCCTGCGTGGGATGGCAGGGCTATAACGGAAGCCTCGTTCAGATGTAATTTCACCATGCTCCTGGGGGGTGAAAGAGATAGCTTTTTTCGCCCTATGACGCGGGATATGGTACAGTACTGGGATTGCGTCTTTGTTTTGTATGTAACCGTGTTTGTCTAGAAATATGAATGCTTCTGGTGGAATAAAACCCGTGGTTAAGGTTCCTTTGATAAAATTTTCGTCTGGGAAGGGGATTGGAAATATTAAACTGTTGTTTTTGATATATCTTGCGCTTGCAAAGTAATTTCGTATTAATTTAATTATAAAGTTGTCGATCCTATTTATATTGGCTTTGTTGTAAATGGTTTCGTTATTTACGTGGCGTTTATAGTTAGAGTGCGCAGACCTGTACATGCTAAGGCATGCTCTAAGGCATCGTCTTTCAAAAATGCGGATCGACTCCATTATGGAGGCACTGGTATTGTACCATATCTCGCAACCATAGGTGTGTATGGCGGGATGCGAACCCACGGTCGAGTTTGCAGTGGTTCCGAAAGTCGAGCACATAGCCGCTGCGACCTCGGTAGCTGTTAATATAATACCTGACTAAATACTTCCACATATAAGCGACATAGTATAATGTCAAGCAGTTGTGTTAATTAACCGGTTGTCAGAAACGCGAAATAGATCATTAACAAATAATCGAATTTTGAAAATGCTTCTTAAATTAATATCGTCCAAGCTTTCCTCTTACTGACAGATTATAAAGTGAAATTACACAATAATTAAAAATAAAAAGTGAAACCGTCGCATCGGGATTCGAATGGGGATTCGAACTGAGTGTTTATCATAAGCGTATGAGAGAAATCATGCGTTTCTCGGCGTTTAGGTTGCTTGAGATTTTGGCCTGGCTTGGGCGGCCACTCGGCCCGGTCGGCCGTCGCGTCGTAAACGTGTGACGAAGGACTCTTGTCGAGAACACCCGAAACACAGGGCACACGACAGAGGTAGAAAATACTTGTGTTGGGGAGTCGCCAAGTAGAACGTAGTGTACACTGTACAGTAGACATTCGTTTCCCGCACTAGTCGGAGCTGTAGCGGGCCAGAATTCCAGGAACCGTGCAGGAAGCAGACTCCTGTTACCCGAGCACCTTCCCCAACACTCAGCCGTTCAGTCGTGCGACGTAGCTACGTATAGGCTGAGCTGGATATGCGCACTTTGCGGTTTCATTAATTGTCTCTATTATTTTTAGAGATATCAGAAAAGTTTATCCACAAAAGTTGTTCAGTATGAAGAGGGCTATTACTTAGCAGTAACAAGTTTTTCGTAGGTGGAATATCTTCTAAGTTTTCAAAGTTAATTATTATTTTTATTACTGATATTGAAATATTATGGAATAAAATACTTTTATTAGATAAATCGATTCTTCCAAACATTCTGCGTAATAAAGTATTAAGGTATTATGTGAAAAAGGTAATAATTCGTGACATATTTTAGTGGCACATGTCTAGTGTGGTTAACATCTGTTACCCATTACGTGTGATCTGCGAGACAAGAAGCAATCAAATTGCCACCAATATTCATTGCACCAATAAAAACATTATTAAAACAGTATTGTACACACTGCGCTTTCCGTGATGAGATATGCGAGTTAAACGCGACACCGTATGTGTTCCGGCCTGGGCGTGCTGGGCCACAGAATAAGGTACGCGCGCGTGGTGAGAAATACGTATGAGCAAGGGGCGTGGCTTTCGTGCAGATAACGGTGGCGCGGGAAACGAATGCCTACTGTATATGATTTGACGGGAATAAAAATATCCGATGCTTCAGTTTAAGCTTAAGGGATAAATATGACAATCATGAAACATGAAACGGAAAAGTATATATTTTTTCATTTAACTACAAGATTAGTTAATGGACATTTTACTAATGTTACTTTTTACATGTTCTTGTTTTATTCGTTTCTATATTTTGCCTTACGATTGAATATTTGTAAATCTACATATGGGAGAATATATACACCGCTTTTATTAACATTTACATATTTATAATTTATATGGGAGTATGAATAGTTTTACTGCCTATTGTAAGAATCTTAATACGCACGAACAATTACCTTCCGGCAATTGGTAAAGTTTTACATATGAATTTACTTACACGTTATTTACGTACAAAAATTATATTTATTGCAAGTAATTAAATAATGAACGTATACGTTAGTGTCAAAGAATGCAGCAACTGGTCAGATTAGTTTCGTAAATAAATCGAAACCCTGTATCGGCACATTGTTTTTTATGCTATCAAATATAACACGGAATCTTTTAGGAAGTAGTAAAATCTTTTAAACAAATTCAATGAAATACTTTCAGGTACCCAGTTTAGGGCTATGAAATTAAAATGTTCAAGAAGAGGTAAAAAACTTTCATATTTGCAATTATTTTGTGAAATGAATAATAAATAAGGGTCTTAGGGATTTATACTGGAGAGCTAAATCTTTAAGAGGAACATGTCGCTTAAACAAATTAGTTAAATATGATATTTATTTGGGGAATATGAACATCATAAATAAACGAGAGCGGTAGAGCGAGTTGCAGTATCGGTGCTCTTCGTCGGTGTCGACGCATACCGAACGAGGCCGAAGATGGTCGGAGCGGGCCAAAGGGAGAGAGCGAGAGCGATAGTGCGAGCCGCAGTATCGGTGCTCTCCGTCGGTGTCAACGCGTGCTGAGGAATTTCAGTGGTCTATGAGGGGAGGTGTGCGAGCGAGAGAGTACGGTAGAGCGTGCCTCGGTATCGGTGCTCTCCGTCGATCCAACGCACTAGTGACGTTGCGTCACACAGTTTATTGACCTAGCCGTGTACGCCGTGTACCATTTTTTTATTTTTTTTTTTTTTTTTTTTAAGGG